TATTGAAGACAAGATTGAGTTTATTAGAATAGCATCTTTGAAAAATGAAGATTTGCAGTGACAACCTTTCAGTTTTTCATCCTGTTTTTGAAATTCACTGATATGAAAAGCATAATAAAGGAATGATTACCATTTTTTTTTTTACTTTGTCTTAAAATTCATGTACTTATGGTGTCCCTCATACTTCATGCACCTCTTGACTCTGCTGTCAAAAATTACGTTATTTCCCATGAATGTATTAATGATTTGTAACTACTTACATGATGTGTGTGTAGTGTTTTCAGTAATCCTGTTGGGAAATCTTATCCCTAGAATCATAAAAGTATACAAATTTATCTATGCTACTTGAAAAAGGTTGATTCTGTTAGTCATGACTACTTACTTTGTAGTGATTTACAAAAAAAAATGCCATATTCCTTCAGGATGCAGAGAATAATGAAAAATATAGTGCAGTGGTTTTCTATTGCTTTCTCCACAGTTTGAAGTTCAGAGTTTCCCTTCTCTTAGACCAGATGCCACCCAAAGTAAGAGAGCCGCTGCTACTTAACCCATAACCAGGTGGAGAGAAGAGTTGGATTAATACTTTTCCAAAGAGAAAAAGCTCTTTAAAAATGTATGACTTAATCTATCACCAGACAAGGAATGATTCTAATTGGCCAAATTTTTAATAATGCTGAAGAATATACTTGCCAAAACCAGTATTATGAATTCCTTTATTGCCTTTCCCAAAGTTAGCTCATAGCAAAATATTAAAGATTGAAATAATAGTTTAGAAGAAAAATGTTTTCATTGTCTTTGTTGTAAAAAAATTTTTTTTTTCTGTTTAAATCAAGATCATGAATTTATAAATAGTAAGCTATTATTTAAAACTATAGATAATAATTTTTTTCAAGATGATTAAAGTATATTAAATTTATTTTTATTTCTAAAAGATACTTAATGTATCTTGCTAGCATGTTAAAAATGGCTGAATTACTTTGTTATGAAAAAAAGGTTGCATTTATAACATCCCATGCAAATGCAGAAAAGTATCTGGTTGTAATGAAAGTTTTGTCCTGATTTTTTGTATGACAAACAAAACAAAATAGTGATTTATATGGTAACCATTGTTTTGGATGACCTTATCTCATCGGTCAATAAGTTTTTAATGCCACATGTATAAAATTCTTTAGATTTTGATCTGAAATAAGAGACACACATTTTCAACCTCTTCTATTGAAATGTCAAAGTCTATATAAATGGCTTTGCAAACTTCTGAACAAATGGTAATCAGTAAATTAGGCAAAAAAAATGAAAGAAAGAAAAAAAGGTGATATGTTAGATGGTGCTTAGCTTTGATATTATTAGAGGTCACCAAAGATAAAAAAAACATTTTCGTACTTTAGATCAATCTCAGTATCTTAGTCATTATACCACAACTTAGTCACTGACACTACTGTTTAACATTGTGGTAAAGGATCCACCTATTGTTCCTGGAAAGAAATCTGTTAAAAAAAGATGCCATTTCAAGCTGACAGGAGTACAATGATGTACAATAATCAACATGTTATTGATTGCTGGATAGTATAATGTTGCTAATGTTGAAGTGCCTGCCGAGTTCCCTAACGTTAATTATTTAATTAATAACTTGGGCCATCTTCTCTCATTTCATCCTTGAGACTGAATCCCAATTTCTGAAACTGGAGAATCATCTACATTTTCTCTCACATACGATGTATGCATTTTTGATGGATTTTGCTGCTGCATTTGCATTATTTCCTCTGTGAAATACATGAAGAACAGTATGACATCTTTTCTTTACTTGAAGCAAACACTGGGTTGATCTAAAAGATTTTCTGTAAGTAATTTTCACAGGATCTGAAAGAAAATGAGATATATTAGTCATTTAGACACTGGCAAATATCAGACATCATTAAATCTTGTTTAAAATATTCCATAAAAAAATCAGATAGAACTTCATTAACACCTGATATATAATTGGGAAACCACTGTCCCTTTAATACCAGAGCCAAAGATGAGGTAGAAAAATTTGCTATAGGAGACCATGCTTAGAGACACATATTACCACCTCTGGTATGAGGTCCATGGGAGTGTGAAAAAATTGCAAGAAGCAGCAGATACTGTTTGTCAAATATATATTTTAGTATCGTGTGGTTTTCTTTTTTTGACAAAGACAGTATTGGGAAACTGATACATAGATTAGAATCACTTGGGTGGTGTATGTGTGGTGGTAATGTTTTGGATAGAATTGCAGAAAGAAACTGATCTGATTAGTATATTGTTAACCATTGTGCTGTTGCCATTTTTTAAAGAAATACGGTTTTTCTTCTCTTATGTCTTATACACTTAAGAATAGATTGTCTGAAATCAAAAACATTAAGGAATTGTTAAAAAAAAATTGTAATGTTAATGACTTTTCTTAAAGTTAGAGACAATATATAATACAATGTGACTTTATATACAGGGTGCGATGGATAAATTGTCGCCATTTTATATGTTTAATTTCACACATGTACATTATAGTAGGGTCAGTTGGGCACCATCTGTTAAAAAAGCGCACCATGATGCAATTCACTCTACCAGAAATTTGGAAACAGCATGCTGTACTGCTTGGCATTCACACCAGAACATCCAATAGAAACATTTCAGTGTGCTTGGGTGTCAATCTAAGGACAATGCAGAGGATTTGGAATGATTTGGATGAGTCTAATAGTGATTATGAAGGTACGGCATCTGAGAAAACTCACTCTCATCATTCTGATAAAAAAAGAACCCTTGACTATGTTGCTGGTGCCCCAGACTCAACACTGAGGCATACATCATGTACCTTGAGGAGGGTGGCTACTGGAAGACCCTATGTCTGGCAACACCATGCCACACAAGCAGGAGAGACCAGTTATGGCTGTTAGACAATTTCTGCAACCATGTCACATCATCTGGCCACCTAACTTTGTAGACTCTAATCCCTTGATTATTATGCAGTTGAGTGAGAAACAAAACTCCTTGTAAAACCAGAGATGAACTAAACACAAAGATTATGGCAGCATTTACTAACTTAAACAAAGAGACTGCCCAGAAGAGTTGCAGGATATTCCAAAGTTGTCTGGAGGCCATTGTTGAAGCCAATGGTGATTTTATTGACTAAACGTACTCTTTAGTATTTCAAGATATTTTTCTATAATTTTGGTAAATATATCTGTTAAAATGAGATGTCAGTATTATTTTCATTTTTGCATAATTTAGACAACAATATGTTTCATTGAATAATATAAACATATCATATCTACTTATTTTTATACTGATCCTTTCCAGTTGTTTAATCAGTTTCTAGATGTTAAAATGAAATTCATCAAGGAAGGCAGCATAGTTTTTGTTAACCCAAGTACTTTTGATCTTTTCCAAGATAATCTTCAAGGGTATATTACAAAGACAAACTTATTGTAATTGTGATAAAATGTGCATTTTGTTGTGATGATTTTAAAAAGAAAATATAAATACACACACACACACACACACACGAATTTAATGAATTTAATATGTTTCGCTTTTATTAAAAGCTTTATCAAAAAATGAAATATGAAAAGACAAATATATATGAAGTCTACTTAACCAATGAAAAGCAAGCAAAATAGTATGTATCATGATCACCCTCTAGCCAAGTGAAGTACAACAGCAACTTGTTGTCAATTCCACAAATGATCAGAAGATCTTAGGAGAGTTATTTAGCTATGCTATCTTGATAGCTGTTCACTACTCCCTGATATTTTTTAGTACAGGATTTTGTCTGCGAATAAACCTCTCCACCATGCCTTATAAATACTTGATTGAATCCATTTCATGCAAACGTGCTGGCCATACCATTCATCAGAAGTTTCCAGAAAGTTTCTCAAATCCACTTTGGACAACATGACAATGAATTACCCTTCTGTAATCGCTTCATCATTCTACAGGCACATGGAATCCATGAACAGGTATCATGGTTAGAAGCAGTACAATATAGTTGTCCATGGTCAATAAAATATTTAAACAGACTAACCAGCCTAATCCATACCATCTGAACACACATTACATCATTATGGAACCACCACCACCACCACATTGCATGGTGCTTTGTTGACATTAGGGTCCAAGGAATCATGGAGTCCTTACCATACCAAAACTCTGTCATTAGTCCAAAACAATTAGAATTGGAATTCACTTAACCACATGATGCCTGTCCTCCATGGTCAAATTAGTGATATTTTGAGCCCAGCTGTGCCTGGACTCTCATAGGTCTTCTGATCCTATATTCCATATAAGTTAAAGAATATTGAACTGACCTGCTGTACATACATTGAATGTGGATATAATTTGAACCAGTGTTGCTTGTTTGTTACTACAGGCAGTTCTAACAAGATGCCTCTGATCATGTTCAGCGGTAATGCTTTCCATTAAGTATTCCCAGTGTACATGTTTACACTGTAGATCAAGGGATCTCAAATGTCCCTACAGTTTTTGAAATGAAATATTCATCAATCTGGGATACACTATCATACCCCTTTCAAATGCTGACAACTCACATTGCCTTACCATGAGCAACCAGTGACTCGCCAGATGTTAGACTACAACTATAGATCTATGGTGAACCAAACAGTGGTGCCACCTACCATTACCCTTATATATTGTTTTTTTCTGTTCTTTTGTAAAGTAGTAGCATTGCATAATGGTTTTGCAAGCCATTGTTTATTTCTTGTTTTTTTACTTTTTGTAACTTCAAGATCAAGCTGTATCAGTTTTAAAAAAAAAAAACTGAACTAAAAGAAGATAAATTATGGAATTAAAAAAAATGTTATGCAGATGTTTTTACTATATTTTAAAGTGGTTAATTTTTCTAGAACAATGAAAATTTGAAGTAAATTATTGAAGTTATAAAAGACCATAAAATCATAAATCCTATTATTAAATGACCTTGTGATTTCATTGATTTAATGGATTGGTTCAACTTTCTGTTTCTTTTACAGAGTACTATTTGCTTGATGCTGCATCCATTTTACCTGTGGTTGCCCTTAACCTTGTTCCAAATGATTATGTCCTTGACCTTTGTGCTGCTCCTGGTGGTAAAAGTCTGGCCATCTTACAAACACTCTTAACAGGTTTGGAGAAAAAATATTTTTATTTCTGTTTATTTATTTATTATTTTTACTTTTGTTCACTTAATACAAGACTCAAGAGCCACTCAAAATAGAGGGTTACTGAGTGGGATTATTGTAAGGGAAGGGGAAGCAAGAAGTGTATATTATGTGAATATGTAAGATATATAATGGTTGACCCTAGACTTAAAGAGATTAGGATTGTAGTGTTTAAGGAAGCAACCTCTCAGAAATCTGTTTCACAAAGTAATAAGTCTGGGGAAAAAGCTGTTTGAGTGGAACTTACTCCTTATGAAAAGAATATGAAGGGACTCATTTTTGCTCAGATGGTCACCATAGATTTGCAGTTCAAAATTATAATTATTGTTAAATTATTTTGACATATATTTACTATAGCTAGTTTTAATTTATCCTTCTTTTTGTGAATCCTGTCACAAATTTTGAAATTTTGTTTGGATAATTGAACTCCTGATCATTGTAGACCCATGGTGGACCACTGCACTGTTCACAGTTGATAGTGCCTTCTATTAAGTATTCCCTGTATGACACTATAAATCAAAAGATTTCAAATATCCCATCTATCTGACACACAGTATGTCTTTCTCTTTTTAAATTTACATGTAATATTAATTTTCTAAATTTATAATTTAATAAAATATAAATTTAAAAAAGGGAGATGAATAAAATAAAGTTAACAGAAAAAGATTTGAATTTATTTTACCTATTTTTTGCTTTGGTTAATGCATTGGTTATCACTGCAGAAAATGGAATTGGTGAACAAAGTTCACATTCTGTCCAAGGCTATTTGCATTCAATTCGCAATAATACACTTGGTTGATTAAAATAGTAAAGCAGACTGGACCCTTTAGTTTTGCTAGAGTGGCTATTCTAGGAGAAGGGCATACTTTTTTTTCATTTAGAACTGTTTGATAAGGAATAGTCACCATCAAATTTCCTTGCCAAGGACACATCCATTACTGCTTCAGCTGCAGCACATGTGGTGCTCCAACAATTCTTGAAAGTGTTACAAGATACTATTTCTCATTATATTTCTTTCTCTTATTTTTTATTAAAATTTAAGTGTTTTTTATCTCACTTAAATAGAATAGTTATTCACATTGGTTACATTTTTGCTGTTGCTATCATTATTTTGGCTGTTGTACCCTCCGGCTGTCTTCTGTTGCCTGTTGATCCAGTTTAACCTTAAGAGAATTTCAAACTTGAGTCCTTTATTTAATCTAGGCATGTAAATTGTCCTTGTTCTGCTGTTTATGTCTCAATTTGTTCTCGTTTTAGTACTGCTCAGTTATTGCTAAGTCTGTTTCCACTGAATTTGTGTCTATACTACTCAGCGTGGGGATTGAACTCAAAGTGTCTTTGCTAAAAGAATCACAAACTAACACTTTATTGCTCTAGGCTATTATCATGCAGATTAAATAAAAGGCTCAGTTTGAAATTCTCAAAAGGTTACTCAGACTGACAGACACCTGAAGGAGACCAGAGCACACAATGGTTGAAATGTGAAAAGTAGATGAAGATATTAGTCCAAATAAAAATAATGATAATTCTTCATCCCAGAAATTCATAAATAGATAGAAAAGGTTGGTTTGTCTGATGCCATTTTTTCTCAACAACCTTATCAAGGGGAAAGAAAACTACAATGTATAAAAAAAGGTATCTGTTAAAATATTACTTGTCTTATTTAGGAATTATAATTTGTCCAAGCAATTAAATATATTTTGCTTGGCAATAAATTTATTGTAAATATAATTTCAAATTATTTAAATTGGCTTAATATAGAAAATGGAATGGAAAATTAAGTTTCATGCAATTTTCAGTTAATCACATTTGTTTTAAATTTCTTTTTCAGAAAATCTGGTTTGCAATGACATTAGCCGAAGTAGAATGCAGCGCTTAGTGAGTGTTTTGAAGTATTATACAAACAGAAACAAGGAAAACTCTTCTATAAAAGTTACATGCAAGAATGGTTTAGAATTCACTGAGCCAATATTTGATAAGGTAATTCTCTTTAATTTATTCTCTTATATCATGTCCAAAGTCCGGCCCGGGGACCAACTTCATATACCCCATCCCCATTCCCTGTCATAAAATGTATCACTTATGGCTCACCAGTATTGTCAGTCAATGTATATAAAGTACACACCTGAGAAATGCAATTTCATGTTTTACCAAAAGATGGCCACTCTCTGGTGGTGTGACCCTTGACCAGCCAATTTCTAAAATCACTGCCTTTAAACTAGACCTGACCTACATACCTACATACTGCAGTTCAGATCTCAGTATCACTCTTCACATTAGTGCAGGCAAGTTATTTGTTTTGGTCATCTGAGATGAATAAATTCTAAAATCTTAGTGAATTAAAGGTGTTTTGTCTTGGTCAAAATCAGTTATGAATATATTTGGACACTTGGACTTGTGTCACTTCTTAATAAGATGAATGTTGGTGTTATGTTCCTATTCATATATTTTTAACTTAAAAGTTGACAGACAATATTAATTACCAATAATATGTAATGTCTAAGATTAACCTAAAATATATTATAGCTTCTTGGAAATTCTTTTTTCTCAGACATATTTTAGCTTTTGTCCTATATAGGCTTCAAATATGACAGGCTGAGTGATTTTGGTAAGACCTTTTTAAATTTATTTGTCATCCATGTGAAGAAATGAAAATATGCCATTTGCAACAAAAGATAGTTTATTTGCTTTTAATTTTAATGGTTCAAAGAATGCCAAGCAGAATGGTTGGCCATCATGTATATTCACTGCATCAAATCTGGCTCTCTTTGATAAAGGTTTGGACACCTCTGTCTTCTATGTGCCATGTCACTTCAGGATGTTAGCAATCATGGCTCTCCGCAATTTCCTGTCCTTTGTAGTTCTTACAGTTTTTTTGCTATCCCTTCTAAACCTTGTTCCACTATCCATTTAATCAAGCTTGGTAAGTAGGTTATGCATTGTTTTCCTCTGTTCCTCCTGCCTTCAATATGTTCTGTGAGAACCAAATTTTCCAAGCCTTCTTTCCTCATTATATGCCCCAGAAATTTCAACTCTCTCTTTCTGATGTTAAGTACAAGTGTTCTTTTTGTTTCCATTTTCTCTAAAACTTTGTCATTGCTTACATGTTCAGTCTATGGTATTCTCAGCATCCTCCTGTAGAATCACATTTCTATTGCTTCAAGTCTCTTTTTCATCTGTGAGGAGAATGTCCAGCATTCACTGTCATATAGGAGGACTGATATTACATAACAGTTCAGTACTCTTTTCTTTGTTTTTAACAACACTTATCTATCTCCAATTTGTAATTTGCATGTTGGGCTGTTTCTTTTGCTAACAACCATGTATTCCTTTTTTTTGCAATTGATGTTTAGTCCTTTCTTCTTGCTTTCCTTCACTAGCTTCTGTAGCAGTTCTTGTAGTTTTCATTTGCTATCAACACTATGTCATTTCTTATGCTGTTAAGATTGTGGCATGAATCCTGGTAGAACTGTGTCAGTTGAATAAGTCTGGTGAGAAGACCCATCATTGTTTTATACATCTTTCTATTTTTGTATATTTGCTGAATTCATTTTCTACCTCTCTACATTCAAAAATCAACATTCTCTTCAGCACTGAACAAATGCTTTAATATTTCTATTGGAACATAGATTATTGTTTATATTTGATAAATGCAAAAGTTTTATTAGTGTCTTTATGAAAACCAGAAAAAGAATTTTCTCCTTAGGTCATTTTGCTTCCAGAGGATCCATACATCATCAGATATTAATTCTCCATCAAACTTGGTTTAGGGTTCTCCGCATTGTTTCTGTCTAGTTGCTTCTTCATCTATTTAATTTTCAGTGTTAGGTCTTCAGGTGTGTTTCTAGAATGTTCTTTATTCCTTTTTCCCTGCAGCTTCCAAGTCAGGGTGTAGTAGGTGATGCTGGGTGTTGGTTTCCTGAGAGTGGATCCAATCCAAATGATTTGTTTGGTAATGGGATTATACCCTGTGCCTTGCCACAATTTTTCATTGATCTTGTTTTGCCACCTGGTGTTGAAAATATTCTTCAGATGTATTGATAGATATCTGCAATTTTTGCTGCAAACTCTGGTTATTCTCCATGACCCAGAACCATAGAGCAAAACTAATGTGACATTAGACTTAAAAAAGTGAATTTTTGTAAACAGTAGAAAACTGTGTATAAATTTATTTATTTTTAATAATAATAAAGGAAAACAGTAGACTCCTCCATTAGAATATTGAAAATTTTCCTTTTCCTAAGTGAGTTTGTAGGTAAGGAGTATCTCTGAACTTGGCTTGAAATCACAAAACTCATGATCATTAGTCTGTGGCATTTAGTACAAAACCAGATCAAGCAGCTTTGTTAGAACTTAAAAGAAAACAAAATAAAGTTAGAGACACAAACTGGAGGAGGAGGCAATAACCAAAATGTTGTGATAATAACAACAAAGATGAGGAGATTAATCTGTATGTAATTAATATATAGCTTTAATGTATTTTTATATTTTCCTTTAGGTTCTTGTTGATGTACCTTGCAACTCAGACAGACATGTTCTTCTGGATGAAGAAAACAACCTTTTCAAACCAGGACGAATTGAAGAACGCATAAGAATCCCTAAATTACAAAGTGACCTTTTAGTGTAAGTATTTTATTGCTTATTTGAAATTATTTAAATCTATTATTTTAGAGACAAAATTAAAAAAAATATCTGAAATGATAATTGTTACTCTGTGATGTTTTTGTCTTATGACTTCACATGAATTTCAAAACTTCTCCTCAGAATGACTTGAAGCAGAATCAATTTTGCATAATAATTATCAAATTCATTAAATTCTTACAGCCTATTTGAAATAATATCCTCTAATTTCTAATAATTTCTTTTTATTCAATTCTCGCCTGTGGAAGTCTCTACTGATTTCATGTTTCTCTGCCATCTACAAGCTTCAAAAATTTAAATGATTAAAAAAAAACAAAAAACATTTGAAATTTACTCAAAAATTCTTTTCTGTACTGCCTTCAGATTTGGTCTAGTTTTTATTAAAATTTGTAAAATAAAAAATTTATTTTAGTTTTTATATGCTAAACTATTTTATAAATTTCAAAATTTTGAAAGATATTTTGTCAAAATTCAGATTGACAAGTAATCTATTCATACAGAAATAATCTAGGGAATCGCCTCCAAGGTTTCTATAACTTATAGTTTAGAAGTGATAGATGAAAGTATAAAGTAGATAGGCTATTCATTTTTCATTTCCCTTTGATTTCTATCTTTCACTTTTCCACTTTAAATTTTAATGCTATTAGATTTCTAACATATTCGTTTCTTGCACTTCTTACTTGTGGAACTCTCTTCCAGTTTCTTGTTTCTCACTCAGTTTTGATCTTCAAAAATTTAAATGTGATGTCAATTGTTATCTTCTGTCTTAATTCCTGTTCTATTATTGTTATCTCTCCTTAATAATGTTTTTTTTTCTCAGATTTTTCCACACTCAATAGCCCCCTTGCATCTTAGTGGCTTTATTGCTTTGCTTGGCATGAAATGATTAAAAAAGAATAAGATTCAATATTCACTACTTTTCCATCAGAGAATACTTTTGGTTCTCACTGTTTTATTTTCTACCATACTTATCCATTTAAAAACAATTTAGAATGTAAAGAAGAAATAAATTTTCCAGTCAGTATGTGCTCTCTAAATAATAAAAACTTATTATGGTTAGAATTGACTTGTTTTTAAGTAACCTATTTTTTCTTAACATTTAATACTAACCAGTAACTACCTTTTGTGATGTTGAACAGATTCGCTTGTCACTTTTGCTACGTCACAGAAAAGCTCATTTTCACTTCCCAAAATGCTTGTTATATTCAAGACTTTGTAGACACTAGTACTAGTAGTAACGCCTTCCAATAATATCCGTACTTGTAATACTTGTTCAAGTAGTAATTGCCAAATTATATAATGATCAGAAGAGAATCGTAATCCATATAGTAGTAGAGATAGTGATCATATAACAATAGTGGATATACAAGAGTGAACAGTGATCATATAGTCCTCACGCTACTTCCTATTTATTCACTTCCTTTATGATCATGTGATCTACTAAATAATAGAATCGCCTGTGTTACTCACTGGCAATCTAGTTTCAAACTGCAGTGTCAGCAATGACACTTACTCTTATACAACACTATGCATGCCATAAAAAATGATGATTGATTATAAAATTGATATCTTGTCAAGTCTTTAATATTAAGTTTTCACATGAATCTTTAAATATATTTTTCCAATTATTATTGTTTCACTTTACTCTTTCATTCAATCTTTTTGCCTCCCAGTTTCATAAACATCTTTGAACAGTTGGCCATTGTCAGAACAAAGACACTGCCACTTGGTATCATTAGTGCTAGGGAAATAAGTTCAGTACAGCAAAATGTTACAGGCAACAAAAATACAAATACAGCTGGTGTATTATATATGACAGTGTTGAAAAGTTATTGACTTGACCAAGGATCCCTTCCAAGAGAAGTTCCAATGTTTGGTCATTTAGTCATATTTTATGAAGTGGGTTAGTTAGAGAACATTTTAGCACCCTACTCTATTTAGATTCATTGTCTTGAGACCAAGGTAAACAATTCCCCTGGTTGTAATCTATGATGATTTGTTTAATATCAAGATGTACACATAGTGTAGCGGTTATCAGCGCAGATTGTGGGAATGGCATGTGCAGTTCAAATTCATGCTGAGGTTGTTGCATTCACACAAATATCTTTGAACAGGTATGAATCCATCACTTTTTTCTCCCCAGCTATGGGTTAAATAGCAGAGTAGACTGGTCTCTCTCTAGCCTTGTTGGCAACCAGTTTAGAAGAAGGACAACTTTAAATTCAAACAGGCTGGGCTGGGGCTAGAAAATTCATCTTGTAAAAACGTACTTAATATAGAAAATACAAGAGTGATAAAAAAACTTGCATACATACAGTTTAATATCAGGACTTGTCGAGAGCTTTAAGCACAGATTTATTGTTCATAATTGTAAAGGTTTATGGATAATTTAGGTACTGTATATCTATTTTTAGTCTATTTTCTTTTAATATCTTTTGATTCATAATTAAGTACAAGAATTGAATATTATGCAATGTACAGCGGCATGTATATAAATTTTTGGGGGAATTAACATAATGTAAAGCAATTTGTTTGCTGCTTCTCTGAAAAAGACATTCATGACCATAATTATCAAATTTTATTCTTGGAATTGGATTTATGATTTTGGTGAATCTTTTACTCTAGGCTTCAGTTAATTCTAATTTGGTAAAAGCTTTCAGACTTCAATGGCATTTTATAAATAAACAGACTTTCTCCAAGTTCCTAGGGAATGTAGCACGTCGTTGAGTTTAAATTGAGAATTCCATGAATAAATGAGATCAGCCCCTACCATTTGTTCTTGCAATGAATATTGCTGTTATATCTGGTTCAGTGCTTCTGCTATATATCTTAAGATTTTTTACAAAACCCAAATGGTCTATAATATTGATCCTGATCTGGCATCTCAATTTCAGTTAATTTCTCACCACTGTGATGCGGCTTCCCTCTGTATTTTCTATAAATATTTTCATGGCAGTTGTTTGAATCAGCCCTCCCCTCTTACCTTGACCAGGTGAATTTAAACGTACTATTAGATTGGTATAACAGATCTCATTATTTTACTGTTGAAGTCGCTAGATGTAACTGTAAGTTCTATTCTGATATAGAGTGTTTCATTAAGACAGATCAAAGTCAGCAGTAAATAAATCAGTGTTATTGGTGAAAATTTATTTATTTCTCTGTTGGATCATGTTATTTAAGTCATAGCACTTACCTGTGAAAAATAATATCGCCCAATTGTCCACCAAGGCTTCAGCAGCACACCTCCACTCGATGGTAAAAATTTTTGATGACGTCTCTGCATAGTTGCTCCTCGATCTCACCAATATGCCTTATTTTCTCATCCTTCAGCTGTTTAATTGTTGTTGGCTTAGACCTTACTTTTGAGATGACCCCAAAGGAAAAAATCTAAAGGTGTCAACTCGCACGATCGTGATGGCCAATTGACTTTGCTGTTTCGAGAGATGATACGAGTTAGGAACTTCTCATTGCATTTCTGTGATAGGCTTTGATAACTTTAACACATTGTTTGATTGTTAATCTTTCCATGGTCGAAATTGCTAAAGTCTTAAGTTGTTAAATCTGAAAGAAAAAAAAAATCATAAGATGCTTAAACTTAATTCACATTTAAAATTAGTTCAAGTTATTTCTTTCCAGTTCCTTGCTTCCCTGCCGCCTGCAGTCTTCAAAAATTTAAATGCACTGTTAATCACCATCTTCTGTCTTTCAGAATTCTGTTCTTTTATTGTTCTTTCTCCTTACTAAAGTTTTCTCATTTTTTTCCACTCCCAGTAACTCCTTGTGTCTTAATGGCATTATTGCCTTGCTTGGGGTGAAATGATTAAAAAACAAAAAAAGAACTTCAATTTTTTACACACAATGGAACCAAATATCCTTTCTTTTATATGAAAACAAGAGAAAATTACTAAAATGCAAGCTAAGTCTCTGATTTCAATAAAACCTTCTTGTAAAAGATATCTATAGTTTAACAAGCTTTCCTTTATGTAATACCAATTCTTCCTTTCAGAGCTGGAATTAAAAGCTGTAAACCTGGTGGTTCAGTGGTATACAGTACTTGTACATTGTCATTCTCTCAGAATGATGGTGTCATCCAATCAGCATTTGAAACCATCTGGACAGAGACCAACATCGATATAGTTGTGGAGGATATCCAGCCACTTTTAAGTCATTTCCATAACACTTTTGCTTTCTATCCAAACTGCAGGTTTGGTCAGCTTGTGCTACCCAAGCTCACCTCAAATTTTGGTCCTATGTATATATGCAAAATAAACCGTTTAAAATAAATAAAGGTTATTTTTTGTTTTATTTCACATTTACTTTTTTATGGTTGCAAGATAATAATTGACAAAACTTGGTAATGTGGCTGCTTTGATAAAATGTCAGAAAGAATACAACTGAAGCTTTAAGTTTGAACAAAAGGATGATAAATTGTTATTCTTATCAATGTGTATTAAAATGCAAATATGATAGATCAATGTTGTTGTTCTTCTATGTGCCTGTTCCCTTCAGGACATTGTCAGTCATGGCTCCCCACAATTTCCTTTCTTTTGTAGCTCTTAATAAATTTTCTGCTTTTGCTATCTCCTAAACCTTGTTCTGCCATCCAGTCTTACGACCCACATCATATTGAAACACTAGTTCCTATACAGTCACCAAAATTAAGCAATATTTAGCCTGGTCAGTACCTAGATGGGTGACTGCTTGGGAATACCATGTACTGTAAGCTTGGATATATGGGTAATGTCATGCAGTCGTTCCCAGAAAATTTTGGTGCCATGCCTCACTTTGGTATTTCTAAAAGTCTGGTGCCTTCCTGTAATGTTTAATTCTTACATATTCAAAATTTTACTGCAATTCACATGAAGAAAGCTTGGTCTCTAAACAAATTTCCCAAGACCATGGATTCCATGGAAGAGAAAAATTTAAAAAAATGAAAAGACAGTTAAATATATATAGTTTCAAAACATGATAGAAAAGTGAAAGGCAGAAATATAAAATATTTGAATGAAAGCTTATTCTGTAATAGACTTTAATCATTTTAATTGTGAAATAATAATGCAAACTGACCCCTAAAACTAGAACAGTCCCTGCCAAACCAGAAGATATAGTAGGATCATTTGTAGCTAATGTTTGGGTGTATGTGAGAGTAATTCTATTAATATTCTAGTATTGTCCACCTCAGCTTTAAGATTCTCATTTGTCCTTCAAGACCAATGGTTCTGAACTGATTTTGGACCATGCCCTATTTTAATTCTATTTAATTCTTCTTACATATTCAACATTTTACTGCAATTCACGTGAAGGAAGCTTAAAAGGCCATTAACTTGGTCTCTAAACAAGCCTCCAAAGACCATGGCGGCCATTAAAGAGAAAAATTAAAAAAACAAAAAAGCAGTAAAATATATATAGTTTTAAAACAAATAATAGAGAACTGAAAGGCAGAAATATAAAATATTTTAATGGATGCTTATTCTGTAATATACTTTGATCATTTTAATCATGAAATAATGATGCAAAATGAAATTTGAGTTCATGTTGGTATAGCAAGCTGAAGGGTGCACATCCTATGCATGCCCCACCAAAATATTACCATGTGCCCCACCAGTGAGATTCATTGATGTCATGGATAATAGCCTGGAATTGTTAATGGAAGAGCCCAGTTCCAGTTCTAGTTGGGTTCATTATATTTACTTATACACCTTGGGAACAGTATGAATCAACCTCTTCTCCCCCCAGCTATGGGTTAATTAGTGAGACTTTTATCACTAAATCATTATCATCACCCACCCTGCAAAAAAGAAATATTCTTACAATCTAAAATATTTACTTGCTTTAAATAATCTTGCAGTGGGTTTATAAGCCATAGAAAATGAATCAATCAATTTTCCATCCATTTACTTAAACTTACTAGCTAGGTTATGTATTGTTTTCCCCTGACTCCCTAACCTTCAATCTATTCTGTGAGTATCAAATTTTCCAAGCCCTTTTTCCTCATCACATATCCTAGAAATTTCAACTCTCTTTCTGCCATGTTAAGTAGAAGTGTCTTTTTTGTTTCCATTATTGCTAAAACTTTGTTGCTCACATGTTCGGTCCATGGTATTCTCAGCATCCTTCTATAGAATCCCAATTGTGTTGCTTCATATCTCTTCTTCATCTGTGAGGAGATTGTCTCATATTAACTGCCTTACTGGAAGATTGAGGTAACAAACAAAAAAAAAAAATATTAGAGATTTTTCAGCTCTTTTGACATTTTGTACAACATAACAGATTAGTGACTTAGAAAGAGAAATCAGTATCCAAGGTTTGAATTCATCTTTCTCCCCAGTGTTATGGGTTAAATAGCAGGATAGACTGAGCCCTCTTGCCTTTTGGTGGTAACCAGTCCAAGAGAAGGAAAATTCTGAATTCAGATCAGTCTAAAGAGGGATGAGCTATCTTGTCCCCAGATGCGCCACTGCTGCTGCAGCTGTAGTAAAGGTGCTGCTCCTATGACTAATGGGTTATGGGAATCATAACATGACTACATAACGGTAGCACTGTTTATTCACTGTATTAACATTTTTCTAATATCCTATTTAATTCAAAGCTTTAGCAACTGGGAAAAATCTTTGGTTTAATCATTAACTTTATTGAACCTACATCTGTACATTGCAGATGGCTGTGTTTATTAATATTATATTTTATAACTAATAGCTTTTTAAATATGAATTGCAGATATTTAACTAATTTTAATGAAATAATATTTTTCATTATGGAAAATGTTAACTTTTTTTTATTTGTGAGTTCAATACCTGACTACAGCAGAAGGGAACAAAAACTTAAAGAGTTAAATTAAAGGGAGATAACTGATACTGAGACATCCAAAAGAGGCATGGCACGTGGAACTAGAGCAATCTACCCCAGTAGATGAAATAAAGGGTTCAGTTCAAAATTCCAACAGCTGAAATGTGAATATGACAAGAAAGATGATGACAAGGTAGAGTAAATAATTATAATACCTCATCTCAGAAATATAGACAAATATTTTTTAATTTATTTTATTAAAATATTGGCTGAATAAATATGAATATTTTTCTACCAATATGTATTTTATGTTGTAGTTTTTGCTGTTTTTTTTTAAGCCTTACTTTTTTTGGGAAACTGCTCTTTTCAAAGAAACAATATGTATGTAAATTGGCTTTAAAGTAAGGAGTTATACAATGTACTAACAGCATCAAGCTTAACCTTGACTTTGTGTGCACCTTTATATGTGTATAATTTGAAAGTATGGAAGTTTAAGAAAATCTTTATTAAGTTAATCATGGATCAGAGGTTGGGTGTTTGGAATTTCGGGTTTCATAACATGACAATTTGTGTTTCTAGTCTCAGAGGAAAAAAGAATACAACTTTATCTTTTTTTTTTATCTCTTTAAAATTTTATATGTGAAAATTAAGGAATAGCAGAAAAAATCCACTTTTACCTAAAAAGGAATAGTGAGGACCCACTTTACAATTAATCACATTGTAAATAAGTCCCTATAAAAAAAAACTTAAAAAAAAAAAAAAATTTCTCAAAGTAAAGGTTATAGCCATAAAAATGCTTAAGAAGAATACACCCCTTAATTGAACCAAACTTTACCCCCCCCCCAACTTTTTGTTAAAAAGAACCAGGAATATTGATTCTACTGAAAAATAGAAAGAATAGCCAAGATTGTGAATGCAATCAGAATTGAAAAACCTTATGTTAACAATAATTTGAAAAATATTTACTTTCAGCTAGAAACTAGAGTTTGAATTTTTTCTTGATTTTCTGAAGTCTAACAAAATTATTTTCTTTTCAATTGCATGCAATTAATTTATTTTGTGCTTGTCAAAAATCCAGAAAATATACATACTATATTACTTGTATTCATACAGGACTGTCTACTAAATGATTGATTTCTTTTTTATGCCTTATCAACCTTTTGAATACAATGAACCCAAGTAGAATTGGAATTCAGTCCTCTGATTTTAAAATCCGAGCCATTATACTTTACACCACCTGCACATACCAACTTACAGAACCTGGTATTACCAAATGGTCATACATCTAGATAGGCTTGACAATTGCTTCAATTTGGTGATTGGACAAGTATCCGTATTTCAATGTGATATGGCCGTAAGACCTGACTGCTGAAGAATGTTTTGGCCTTTCATAGTTACAATAAGTTGCTATGACTTGTGGATTTACCTCTGCTAAAAGATAATGGACTTATAGCCAACCATGTATTTAATAAATGAGACTAACTTTACTGCAAGGATATGTTCCTAGGAATCTTTGTGAGCTAACATAACTCACATATTGTCAACTGAGATACAGTTTGGAATCTTACTTTTTTATTTTGTTTTAGTTTCTTTCTCATAACAACCCCCACCATGCCAGCCCATTGATGGATTAGGTGAGTATAAAACTTGAGCAATTTTTTTAAAAATTTTTAACATAATTTGACAATTAGAGTTATTTCCCTTTGTACAAGAAATCTTTTAGGTGCTGAGTCGTGTTAAAAAGATCGCTGATGGCGATGCGATATTCGAAGAAGACAGTCACGGAAAAATAAAAATAAAATATTTTCTTTTAAGAAAAGTATTCATTATTATAAAAACGTGGCCCAATTTTTAGGAAACCAAACAATTTGTTGGTGCAAAAGAAAAAGTATCAGTCATTCGGTTCAACAAGCAGGCATTTATTCCTACTTAAAAACACCACCACAGAGGGTGAGTCACACTCTAACTAAAACTTTAAAAGCTGTCTGCTTCTGTGCTACCATTGTTATTGTTTGTTTACTGCTGTAGATTATTTTATTAATACTATTTGCTTCATAGCCTATATAAGTGAATTTATCCACTATTTAATCTACTGTTGACAGATTACATTATTAGACTTTTTATTTAATGCAGTACTGTTAAATAATAAATAATTACTGCTCTCTCCACTTCGTTTTTTTGGTTTTTTTTAACATTCTGAAAATTGTGGGGAATAACGAATCTTCTTCTCTTTGATAAGTATCATTTTTTATTTTTTCATTTAATTTTAGCCCCATAATTGATTTATATTTATTTGGATAAAGCTAGTCAAAACAAAAGAAAATAATTGAATCCAGTGAAAGGAAATGACTTAAAAAGTCGAGTGTTTTAAATTTGAATCGTAAGAAGTTGCAAAAAGAACTACTAGAGTTACCAAAAAATTCAAACGTTTTTTTTTGTTTTTTAGAAGACTTGACATGATAATAATAAAAAGAAAATGTTAGCTTCGTAATTCAATAGCAGTAATTAATTTATTTTAAGAAAATTTACTTTCTTAACGTGTGCCTACACTAAAAAATAAATAAAAAAAATAAATGGACTTTTTATTTTATGTGCAACGACAAAGTTTTGCGAAGAACTTTTTACTTTAGTTTATGCATTTAAAAAAAAAATTATTTAGTTAGTTAATTAAAAAAAAAACTTAACGCATTTATTATTACTAAGATTTGGTTCATGTCCACAAAAGAACTACTCACTGTCTTCAGTTCAAGCCTTTAATTTTTTAATCAACATACACTACAGTCACTATCTTCGACGTTCAATTATTCGTAAATGAGTTAAAAAAAAAAAAATAACCACACGCATTTTTTTTTCTTTTTACCACGTGTTTATTTCTTAGACTTTTCTTTCTCTTTATGCCTTATTCTTTTCTTTTGTATTATTACTACCCTCCTCGCCCCCACCCCCAACATTAAATTAGTTTCCTGAATTTATTGTAATTTCCAAAACTGACCCCGTTAATCTTTACCAAAGTGTTCTCTCAACAAACAGACCCCGAAAATTCCGGATCCCAGTGGATCGCCGTAACCATCAGCGGCAGGGATAGTCCGGATTTCGACTTCACCGCCCAGTTGAGCCCAGCGCAATTAGTCTCATCAACTTCTTTACTGCCCTCTGCTAAAGAAAGTGGTAGATTTACTACTGCTAACGCTAACCATCCAGTGTCAGCACCATGTCTGTTGCCTTATTCTATCAAACAACAGCACCATCTTCATTATTCCCAGCAAAGCAGCTCCCTAACTATCCAACAAACCGGCCCACCTGTACGAAAAAATACCGTTTCTTCAGGTCTCAATCACAACAAATTATCAGCATTGCAACAGACTTTAATTAACAGAACTTTAATCGACTTTCCTAACGGTGACAAGAATTTTAACGTAACAGTTCACGGGGACGATAACAAGAATTGCTGCGCGTGTGGCGGCAATTGTTCTGAGGACCAGGTACGGCACGTCCATAGCTGTGTGTGTCGTGTCATAACAGGGCAGCAGAACGAAAAGGCCAAGTGTAATTCCAGCAGCGGCTGTGAGCAAGTTAAGCAAGTAAGTATATTTTTCACTTAATATTTTTTTTTGTTTTGTTTATTTTTTGTATAATCTTCTTACTTAGAGCACCTATACACGCACCCCAACCCGAAAAATATTTATCCAGGAGAAAGGGAGGCAAAGGTTCTTTGCTAGGGTAACAATAATATTGTCAAATAAATATAAGAAATTTTTTAAGTTAGTTAATTTTCTTAATATGGTAAATCGAAATTTTCTTAATTTTTGATGAAGCATTTTCTTTTGTAGTGTTTGTGAAGAAATACTTAAATCTTTAAATTATGATTTGGTCAAAATGAACAAATTAGATTCAAGTTATAGTGAACACATTAATCGATTTCAGACAAAAAATAAAAAACCTTTTTATTGAAAATTATTAAGATATACAATCCCTACTGACTGAATATTTAAAATAAAATTTTGTTATAATTTACTGAGAAAGATAAAAAAAAGTACACAGCATTTAAAACCTCAAATTATTAATATGCAAAGTTTCAGCTTTTAAGCATGTATAGTTATTAAGTTATTAGAAATGTTATACTCTTCAAGTATTACATATTGAAATAGTTAAGCATTTTTCTGTTAAATATTTGCGCATATCAAGTCAGTCTAAATAGTAGAAGTGGTCATTATTAAATCTTCTTGTGTCTAGTTTATTTCCTACTGTATGAAAATTGTCTTCAAAGAAGAATCTCAAGTAAAAATAATTTGTAAAACGCCAACAATATGTGGAATATAAAAATTTTCTATTTGAATTTTCTGTATTTATTTTCCTTTTACTTTGTGAACAAGTGGAATATTTTTGCAAGGCCAAATTTTTACCCCCTCATCACACTATTATTATTATATTTTTTTATTCTATCTTGTTACTATTTATCCTAAAATTACAGGTTGATAGAATCTTTACCCACTTGGAACTAACAGAATGAAATCAGAAATAAAAGTTGATAAGCTTGAATTTGCATCCCATATCTTTGGGATGTCACTTTAGAAATTTACGCCACAAATGTTTTGATTAAGTAAAATGGGATTTTAAGAAGTTTTCTTTTTTTTAATCATTTCACTCCAAGCAAGATGGTAATGCCACTAATATGCAGTGGGTACAGGGAGTGTAAGTGAAAGAGAAGATTGAGAATAGTGACGGTTGAGGAAAGGACAAAAGATGAATGGGTGGAAGAAGACAAAAGATGGTGATAGATGTTGCATTTAAATTTTTGAAGATTGGAGTTATCAGGGGAAGCGAGTGTAGGGGAGTTATAACTGAATAAATAATTATAAACCCTCTAAAATTTATATATATAAAAAAAAATACTCGTAAAAATTAGAAACAGCAAAAAGTAGAAACAAGAAGACTAGTATTATTGGTTATCTGGTTATGTGGTGTTGGAGAAAGAAGAGACAGTAATATTGAGTAAAAGTGAGAGTTTGGTGTCAAATGTAGATCAAATATGGATTGGAATCCAACAGAAAGATAAGATAAAGAATAAGTAAAATGTATACAGTCTTGTATGTTTTTCTTTTTTTTTTTTTTTTTTTTTTTTTTTATAGATGTGTGTAATGCGTGTCCAGATAATTTATTTAGAAAATACAGGAAGTGTCTGGGGTTTTCTTACCTCAAATTTTTGCTAAAAGATAAATGTTACTATTATGGCCTTAAAAAGAAAAGGGGACAAAATTTTTGTTGATGTATGTGTTAATGACCTGTCCATATGAACTGCTTGTCTGATTGTCAGAATATCACATGTTTGTGTTTGCCGAGGAGATAAGGAAATGGAAGAGAATTCTAATGGTGGAAAGTGCAAGAAAAGAAACTGTTGGAGTAGAAGTGGTGGTTGTGTTTAACTAATTCAACAGTAAAAGGGTGGGACCTAGATGCCAATCTAGTAGCATGCTTAAATTTGTGTATATGGAGAACCAGGGAAAGAAGCTAATCAGAACAGCTGCCATGAAAATATTTGTTGAAAAGACAGAGGAAAGCCATGTCACATCGGTGTGAAAGTGAGTGAAGTCTTTACCTGTAACATTTTCACTATTACTCATTTTACTCCTTGTAACTTCTACTTTTTTAAAACAGATGGCATAATTTGAAAGGCAAAGCAGAATGGCTCCACATTTTCCTCTACATAACTGAAGTTTCCGTAGAGGAAGTGGTTAATTTGATGTTCATAAAAGACAGATTTCTGGAGTGTTGAACATGAGTTCAAGTTTTATCTGAAACTACTTTAGTTTTGATTTTGCACTGTTTTCTCTTGTGATCAAGATTTGTATCACCTCTAGAGTTTTATGATAAAAAACAACATTAACAAGATAGAGAAAAACTAATAAAATAATGTTTTTTATACTCTTGAAACAATTTTTGTTGTCAGTTCCTTTTTGAAAATATCAATCAAAGAATTAATGATTCATTAAATTATTAAAACGAGTGATACTTGATATAAATTTATAAAACTTACTGTGAAATGTCAGAACCTAATCTCCAGATAGAACCCAAATATTGATTTATTTTTTTTATTTAATCATTTTACCCCAATAATGTCACTAGGATGCAGGGGGTTACAGGGAGTGAAAGAGAATGAGAAGACTTTAATGAGGTGAGGAAAAGGACAACAAAGGAATAGGATTCAGGAAGACAGATGACAGTTGACATTACATTTAAATTTTTGAAGCAAGGAATTGAAAAGGAGTTTTGAAAGTGAGAAAAGAAACTATTAGAATAGAACTGATGATTGCTTCTAGCTAGTTCAACAGTAAAATGATGAGACCTAATTACCAATCTAGTAGCAAGCTTAAATTCATGCAATCAAAACATTAAGGAGAATGACTTATTTGAACAATTACCTTGAAAATATTTGTAAAAAACACAGAGGGAAACCATGTCATGTCGGTAGGAAAGTGACTGAAACTGAGATCCCAGGTCAGAATCGATTACATTACAGACTCTTCTTTAAATTTTGTCAACTCTTGAGATATATAGTAAGAGCACCAGACAATGCACAAACAAATGGTAAATGTGCAAAAAAAACTGATGTGAAGAATTGCCTGGCATGACTCAGTCAGTTATATGTCATGCGTGATACATGCTTAGGTGATCATGTATCTTTCAATACATGACTGACGAGGCAGATATTTTCCCGCAGTAGTTGCCATTTCTTTCTGTGGTAGACCAGTTACCATCCAAGGCTATAGAACCCAGTATGTCCTGCTATTTACCCATAGATGTGGGGAGAAGAACCCGATCTGTCCTACTAATTACTCATAGCCTTGGAGGCGGGGAAGAGGATTCATACCTTTCCCAAGGGTATTAGCATCTAAGTGAATGTAATCGATTTGACTGGAATTTGAACTCGGCTCTTTGATTTCTCAATCTGAGCCGCTATCCATTGCTCCACTGTGTCTCTATGACTCTGTATGGAAGTGAATCTAAAATTCTTCCTCTTTACTTGGCTTAATTGGAAGGATCAAGGGATAAGAAAGACTGTGTTATACCAAATCTTCCAAGTTCAAACTGTCTGCCAGCTATGAAAATAAGCATTTGAAATACTAACACCAGTGATAAATATCGAACTAGATTAGTCAATCATATCTCTTTCTTGTTTTTTGTTTTTTTTTAATCTTATAAGAGTGTTGCAGGAGTTACAATACTGATGAGTATAAAAGAGCTCTGTTTGAGTACGTCATCTAGAGTACCACTAACAGAAAAGGAATGAAAGGTAACACATGACATCAGATTAGGCATTATTAAAGTGAAAAGGTGGATTTATTTGTGTGTTCACCTTAGGTAATATAAAAAAAATGGTCAGAAAGTTTGTCTCTGGTTTGTACTGCATACGTAGGAGTGGGTATTGCATCATAGTTGTATAGAAATATACTTATGTATGAGTTTTATTGCATACTAGGAATTGAAGTTTAGATTGCATAGTAGCCTCAGCTATTGCTGTCAATATCAGATACCTGATGCCTCTATAGCTATCTTCAGTCATTGGCAACAAGCTTCATTGGATAGGTATATTCAATAAGTGCCTGGCCAAAATGGTTGTGAACGAGCAAATGACCATGGTAACTCAGGTGAGTCTTCTGACTCTGACTCAAATTGATGGCCGTTTATAGTGTTGGAGTGATTCAGAAATTAACTTTTGGTTGAAGCTGTGTAGATCTTTTCTGATTGGTGAGGAAATATTTTCATGACTTTTTAATTTTTCTTTTTTTTTTTATCTTGGAAGTGGATGCATGGAGCTAGCCTAAAATTATGCCAGTTTGTTTAATTTGAACAGTGGCTGTTGAACTGAGCACTTTTGTTTTCATTGAAGGGTGGGTGTCTCAGTAGGCTATAATGCTTTTCAAATCATTGATCCAACAAGTTCCAAATGTGACTTAATTGATCATTGAAACAAAATTAATCTAAATTCTTCTAAGTAGACTTAAAAATATTAATGTAGAATCTTTGAGGTCACAAAAAATAAATAAAATTTCCAACATAACTTTCTCAAATACTGTCTTATCCAAAAATTTTATATTTTGTTACCTAAGAGATTTTCAAATTTACAACTTATGCAGTTAAAACAAAAACTTCTTTATTTTAGATAAACTTAAAATATAAAAAAGGTTATCATTAGTTTTATATAAAACCAGTTTCAATAACTGCTTTTGATTTTATATCTGAAACAATTTCTGATTACCATATATTTTTATAAGTCATAGTTTCTTATTAGTAGGATTGGGAAGCATGTAAGAGCATCAGACTCTAAATTATATATCAATGAGAAGATAAGTGATATTCCTGAATATTAAAGATTTTTCCCTATCAACCGGAGCCTTAACTGACATTAATTTTAGTTATAGATTATCTGCATGTAAAATATAAAATTTTGAAATGGCTTAATATAAAATATATTTAACACAAAAAATTCTTTTGACTTTTTTTTATTTTGATCTGAGTTCTTTCATTTTAGTTTTTTATCAACTTTTTCTAAATATATATATTTTTTTGCTTCTGTCATTTG